TTCCTCCCCCCTTCTTCCAGTTACAGAAGCCACTTCCACTCAGCACATTTCCCCCTGTCTCCCTTTATTCTCCTTGGCATGAGAAATTCAAAAGTAAATTTCAGATAGAAAATGTTGCTAAAGTACCATCAACTCTCAATCATTCATACTATATCCACTGTACATCCTAAAGCAGTGGTTGGGATAATCTAAAACCAAGGACCATCTCTTTTTTAGCTTCAGGAAACCTCTTTTTACTCTGATATAGAGTCACCTGTCTAATGATTCTTGGCTTAGAGCAGGGGTTCTTTTATGTATTAGAAACCCCTTTGACAATCTGGCGAAGTCTATGGACCCTTTCTCAGAATAATGTTTTTAAATGTATAAAATAAGATACAAAAGATTTCAAAGGAAATCAAAGTTTAGTGAAAATAGAGACATACTTTTTTCTATCCAAATTCATGGATCCCCTGAAGTCTATCATTTTACCCCTTGGGTGGCTGTGGATCTCAGGGTAAGAACTCTCATCTTAGGAGGGAGAGAAGTTTCCACATATGGTTGTAAATGAGTTTGTTTTGTAAGGTTGAGAACATAAGGGGGGAAAACAGCAAAAAAGCTCAACTCTCTGTGGACAATCTACAAAATACATAAATAATCAAGGTCATTTGGATCCACTCCTTACTCACCTTTCATTGATGAATTAAATACACATCAAAGCATCTAATAACAGATGCTTTTCTCCTGAATGACCAGGAGATGAAATCTGATCAATTACAAGTACAATATGCAGTAAGGAATACTGCATTTAGTATTAAAGGGCCTTCCTTGGAGCTTGAGCTCTACGTTTTACTTCCTGAAGGACTAAAAAAAAAATCACTTCATCTCTCTGGGCCTCAGTTTCCTCATCTGTAAAATGAAGGGGCTGGGCTCAATGGGCTTTGATCTATGATCCTATGATCTCAGACATCTACTAAGGTACCCCAAACTGTTCAGTTTGAGAAATTCTCTCTACAACATTCCAGATGACTTGTCACCTTTACTTGAACACTCCCTTCCCCCTGCAAGTGAAGCAATCCCCAAGAACACCTGTTTTACTATAGGGCAGACCTAATTGAGAAGAAATTTTTCCTCACTTCAAGGCTAAACCTGTCTCTGGACCCCTTTTGCCTACTGCTCCTAGTTTTACCCTTAGGAGCCAAGCAGAATCAGGAAACTCCCTGTTCCAGTGCTTTAACTTGAAAACAACTATTCCTGACCAGTCTCCTAGAGGCCAAAAATCCCCAATTCCTTAGTTGATCCTCATTTGCTATAATCTCTCATCCTCTTATCATCTTGATGACTTCTTCTCACCATTCAGTTTTGTCAATGTTGTTCCTAAAAGGGGGCACCCAGAGTTGAACACAACATTCTACATGTGGTCTGATCAAGGCAGGGTCCAGTGCAGCTATCCTCTTCCTTGTTCTGACCCCTATGCCTTTCTTAATATAGCCCAAGATGAAGTGAGGGTCCTTTGTAAGAATAGATGGTCCCTTCCCTCCCTAATCTATGGTCCTATTATTGAATCCAAACCTCCCATTTTACAGATAAGGAAGTGGAGGCCCAGAAAAGTGATAGGATTTGACTGAACCAGGATTTGGCCACAGATGCGACTGGACTCCAAGTCCAGTGCTCTTTCTTAAAGCACAAATCTAACTAAATCATTACTTTCCTCAAAAAGTTTCAGTGTCTTCCTATTGCCCTTAGCATAAAATGTCAGCTCCTCTGTGTAGCATTTAAAGTCCTTCCCAATCTGGCTCCAATCTCTTTCTGCATTAATTAGATATTCCTCACCTTTAAGCACTCTATAGTCCAGCCAAGTCCTCTCTGTGCAGTTCTCTTTATACATTCTGTCTTCTGTCTGTACAGCAGATTGCCCGCCAGCCCTGGAATGTTCTACCTCCTCCCTTCCATCTCCCTTCAAGCTCAGATGTCACCTCCTACCAGAGGGCTTTCTCCCTGAGATCCTCAGCGTCAGCAAAAGAGTGTTCCCTAATCCCAAATTTACTTTTATCTATTTTATATTTACTAATCTGTATGCCTACTGTTTCCCCCAGGAAAATGTAAGTAACTTGAAGGTTGGTTTTTTTAGGCCAATGCCTAGCATGTAGTAGGATAGTAGGTATTTAATAAATGTGTGTTCATAGGACTATTGGGCAGCAGCACGGTGGACGGAGTCAGGAAGACTTATCTTCCTGAGTTCAAATCAAGCCTCAGATACTTCCTATCTGTGTGACCCTGGGCAAGTCACTTAACCCTATTTGTCTCAGCTTCCTCATCTGTAAAATGAGTTGGAGAAGGAAATGGCAAACCACCCTGGTATCTTTGCCAAGAAAGCCTCCAATGAGGTCACATCTGAAACGACTGAACAACAAAGCACATAGTAGGATAGTAAGTATTTAATAAATGCATGTTCATAGGATCATACATTTAGAACAGGAAAGGACCTTAGAGGTCCACCAAGTCTTAGCCTCCCCCTCATTTTAAAGATAAGAAAACTGAGGCCTAGGAAGGTTAAGTGACTCACCTGAGGTTACACAGCTAGGAAATGTCTGATATGGCATTTGAGTCGTCCTGACCATAAGTCCAGTGTTCTATCTCTGACCTGTCTATTGAATTTCCATTATGTCACACTGCCTAGACTAGGGAGACGGATGACTGTTTTTGTAAACAACAGTCCCTAAATAAACTCAAGAAGTTCCTATGTGTACATTTTCAATATTTTTTGTTTGAAAAATATTAATGAGGTTTCTACTATTACTGAAGAAACATCAGCACCGTAGAGAGCTTCAGACAAGAACCCATCCCCAACATGGAGACACCTCTAGAGGAATGGAATAGAGGTGAGCAATCATCACCTCTTGGCCCCTAGTGAATGAGGTCCCAAAGTCCGATCCTCCACATAGAAGAGTACCAGTGGGTTCCCCAGATGTGTAGACAACAAACTCTCTGGGGAGAGAAATATCAGTGTTCTTAACTTAAGGAAAGTTATTTCCATCAAGCAGAGAAAGCTAAAACGTAAAGGCATCCTCAGTATTTCAACTAGGCCTAAAGACCTGAATATTTTTATGGGACCCGGGATTTTCTTAATACACATTGTGGAAGGGTTGGGATTGCTTCTCCTGGCTGTTTTGTTTGACTGTTTTTCTCCTTGGTGGAGGAGCCAAATGGAGCAATCACCACACAAAGAGCCCATTGAAGCTTCACCACAATAATTCTAAAGAAATCTCCAGAACTAATGTTTTAACCAGGAGAAAAGGGGAAAAAAAAGCACACTGCTGCAAGAATGATAAAGTCAGTTTGGGCCCGCACCACGGTGCTCCCAGCCCATAGCACACACTTAATAAATGCTAGCTGATTCAACTGAGTATTACTACGAGCTTAGAGGTGGCTGGGGGTATGGTCAGAAAGGAAAGAGGTAGGCCAGGGATGGGGAACCTGGGCCCTTAAGGCCACCTGGGGCCTTCCAGGTCCTTAAGTGCGGCCTTTTGACTGGATCCAAATTTTAATTTGGATTTAATTTAATTTTAATTTGGATTCGGTCAAAAGGCCATGTTTAAGGACCTAGAAGGCCAGGCTGCGGGTTCCCCACCCCTGAGATAGGCCAGGGATCTGAGGAACCTAAGTAACCTCACCAATAGAGCCAGGCTCTGACGTTAACAGACTGAGCAGACACAACTCTAGACATGCTTCTTTTGTTGGCTGAGAATAGCATCCAAGGACTGACAAGGCAGAATGGTCTCTTTCATAGGAATTGCTGATGCAAATGTGAAGACAGACAGGAGATTTCCTCCTTTCCACCAAACACTTCCCACACCTTCCTGCCTGTGCCCCCTTGTTCGTGCTGTTCTCTGCTCTCACCATTCTCTTATCATTAGCACTCACTGCTGCTTCCCACCTCCTCCTATTGGGATCCTCCCCATCCTTTCAGGAGCAATGCCAATGCTTCTTCCTGTCTGAAACCTCCCCAGACTCCCATGTAGTTTGTGAACTGTCCTTTCTTGATCTCATAGCATTTTATAATTATGCACTTATATGCTGTGGCATTCATTTGTGACAGTTTTCTGATGGAGTCTCAATAGCAAGAGTTTTTTGTTTAGTTGTTTTCAGTTGCATCTGACTCTTTGTCACCTCTTTTAGGGTTTTCTTAGCAAAGATACTGGAATGGTTTGCTATTTCCTTCTCCAGCTCATTTTACAGATGAGGAAACTGAAGCAAGCAGGGTTAAGTGACTTGCCCAAGGTCACACAGCTAGTAAGTGTCTGAGGCCAGATTTGAACTCAGGAACATGAGTCCAGGCCTGGTGCTCTGTGCACTATGGCGCCACCTAGCTGCCCTTTATCTGATACTCTATTTCTCTGTGTACATGGAGGGTGGGAGGTGGAGTGGAGGAATTACGGTGCTATTTAAATGTTTAACAACAAACTCTCCAAAAATATGTGTATGTATGTATGCATGTATGTACACATGACAGACTCTTCAGTTTAATCTGCATTATTAACATTTTCTCCATCACTTTCTTAAGTCAAGACAATCAATAAATCAAGCCTGAGTTGTAGCATTTGCCAATTTCGATGGTATAAGTGTTCACATTGAAAATTTAACTATAAGCCCAGCCCATAGGAGCAAGCTCCAGCACTCCCTTGTACTATCTTCTAATGGACTATAAGTTCCTTAAAGACAAGAACCATTTTCTTTACCTTTGTGCTCCACACAGTGATGTGCACATGGTAAGTGCTTCATACAGGTTTGGGGAAAGAATGAAGGAATGACGAATGAATGAATAAGTAAATGAATAAATGAATTTTCCCACAAGCTAATGCATTAAGTTGTCCATGCTTTGGGGATTCTCCATTATTACTCACTTTAAAAGGACAGCGCCCCTCCCTTCAACCCTGTCTTCTCCTTGTGCTCTGTTCTTGGCCCCCTCCCTCCCACATATGGAATTCACAACTTAGATCTCTAAGCTCAGCCCTTCAACTCACCATGGAGTTCATAGCAAAGTGATTGTGCTGAGTCTGTAGGTCCAAGGCATGTTGGTAGCTGACTCCAATCTCTGTGTGACTCTGGAGGAATAACTCTTTGTTATGGCTGATCCAGTCAAACATCTGCAAAGAACAAGAAAGAAGATGGAAACCATAAGGGTCAGAGGTCTACTGGGGCACCACTCCAGACTGTTAGGGTTAAAATGAAACCAAGGCCTGTAAGAGAAACCAGGGCACCAACCCCCTGTCTCAGGGTCAGGCAGGTCCTGGTCCCCAAAGAGCCTGAAGATTTTGTACGCCATCTTCCATTAACTTGCAGATTATTCATTTAACATCTCAGTGCCCCAAACCTGCATCTTTTCATTCTTTTTCCATTATTATCATCAAAAAGCCTAGTTTAAGAACCAGATTAACCTGTAAAGTGCTTAATTTTTTTTTCCCAAAAATCTACTCAGTGATTATCTCATTTGTTCCTGAGAACTACCAGGGCTAACACGGAGGGTTGACAGCTAAGGAAAACAAGACTCAAAAGATTTACCTAAGATTATATAGATTTAGAGCAGGAAAGGCCCTTAGAGGTCATCTAGCCCAGTGGTGTCAAACTCAAATAGAAATAGGGGCCACCCAAAGAATTGGAAATTGAGAGGATGCCCATCAATTGGGGAATGACTAAACAAGTTGTGGTATATGAATGTAATGGAATACTATTGTGCTATAAGAAATGATGAGCAGGCAGACTTCAGAAAAACCTGGAAAGACTTGTATGGACTGATGCTGAGGGAGGTGAGCAGAACCAGGAGAACGTTGTACACAGTAATAGCCACGTTGTGGGATGACTAATATCGATAGTCTTACCCCTTCTCAGCAATACAAGGATCTAAGACATCTCCAAAGGCCTCATGATGGAAAATGCTATCCACATACCAAGAAAGAACTAAGGAGCTTGAATGCAGATCGAAACATACTATTTGCTATTTCTTTCTTCTGTTGTCTTTTGTTTCCTCTTTCTGGTTCTAATTCTTCTAGTTCTAATTCTTACTAATCTTACTAATTCTTACTTACAACATCAGTAATGTGAAAATATGTTTAATAGGAATGTATATGTATAGCCTATATCAGATTGCATGTTGTCTTGAGGAGGGAGGGGGAGAAAAATTTAAAACTCAAAAGCTTATGGAAGTGATTGTTGATAAATCAAAATAAATTAATTAAAAAAAGAAAAAAAAGAAATAGGGGCCACCAAAGAGTACATGAGGATCTCTGCGGCCGCACGTTGACTTAGAAAACAGACAATATTAACATTATTTATGTTTTATTGTATTTATTTCATTAAATATTTCCCAATTACATTTTAATCTGGTCCAGGCAGCACTAGGGAGTGGGTTGTGGCTGTGTTTGATACTGCTGATCTATTCTAACCCTGTCATTTTACAAAGGAGACAAGCGGGCCCTAGATCAGTAACTTGGCAACGTCACCCAGGTGGTAAGGAGCAGAGCTAAGATGAGATCTCATACCCAAGAGATCTTAATTATTCTAACACACATCGTCGTCATTTGCTTACAAGCCTCTCCCCCCTTTTGATAAACTGAAAAGTCTTTGAAGGCAGTGACTATGTTTTTTATTTTTATATCATCTATAGATAGTAGAAAATAAAAGATGGGTTTTTAAATTAATTTGATGCAAAGCATTAGTTAAAAGCATTATGGCATAATGTATGCAGAAATGGCCTTGGGGATAGAAAGACCTGGGTTCCAGTCATCAGTCTGCAAGATCCAAGCAGTCTTGGTACTCGCACCTCCTCATTAGCCCGTATGAGCAAGCTCCAGCACTCCCTTGTAAATCCCACTGCCCCTCTGATTGGAGGGTGGAGCCATAAGCTCCATTTCAGGAGGGGCCCAGGCTCTTCATTTCCCAACAGGCTTAGTTACACTCCCCTGAACTTCTTTATTGGGACAGACTTCTCCATCATTCTCCCTTGCAGGACCTTCTCTCCTCCCTCCCCTTTTCAGCTTCCTTGACAGAGGCTGTCTTTTTTTTTTTCTTTTTTTGGTATTTATAATCCCAATGATTAGCATAGTACCTGACACATAATAGATGCTTAATTGTTCATTGACTGACTATCCTGCCTCTGATGTCCGAGGTCCCAAAAGTCTTAGTGCAATTTTAACTATCAGAGCTTAAAGCTGCACTAAGATTTCTGGGACATGCTATATAAGGACTATGAGACCCTAGGCGAATTACTTCTAATCTTTCAGAACAACTCTCTAAGACTATGAGCCATAAATGAGTTGTTGATCTTTATCATGGAAGAGATTTTCACACCAGGAGTTCCTCTACTGATAAAATATGGGTACATTCCACAAAAAGTGTCATATAATGCAATTAGCTTTCCTTTGTGGGCAGAAATGGTAAATCTTATATTAGAATTGTTATTTATGTTACCTGCTCTGCTTAACTTTTTTAAAATATTGAAACAGAATCTTTGTTTGGAGCCAGTGTTATTCAGGTTGTCTCTCAAGTTGCATAGAGCTCTACCATATACAACCTGCAGCTCCTTTTATTATATTTATTACTTTATTAATTAGATTATTATTTTACACGAGACCCTCTACAGATCATAATTATGTGACTCATATGCTTAACAGACTTTGCAAAAGTATCTCCAGCCACATGACTCTGAATACTATTGATCTAGTCTATCCAAAGGTAAACAACCAAAATAATTACGTTTCTTTGTTCTGGGGAAGGCGGGAGCCAATAAGTTTACAGAATGAGGTCAGCTTTGCTGTAGGCTGGTGCTTAGAAGTTTGAGAGGTGATACAAGCCATTGCCAAAGTGGAGAGTAGAACAGAAAGGAGCTGAGCAATATGGGGCAGAATGGAAATGTTTTTCCTCTCATGGAGGGTATCTAAGCTCCCAAGATCTCACCAAGACATCAAAAGGTATGGGTGGTAGTTTAAAGCCAAGTGAACAAGAAAACAGTGCAGACTCTCTAGGTCTACTCACAGGCTCATAAGATCATAGATTTGAAGTTAGAAGAGACCTAAGAAGCCATGAATCCAACCACCTCCTTTTTACAGATGAGGAAACTGAGATACAGAGAAGTTGTATGACTTGACCAGGGCTACACAGTTGGCGTCTGGGGCAAGATTTGAACACAGGTCTTCCTGCCTCCAAGTCCAACATCCTATCTACGCTTCCCTGTCGTCTCTCCTCCATGAATCATCCTTCCAATGGCCTTGTGCTATCTTCAGATTCCAACTCCATTGTTCATTCATTCCACAAACATCTATCATGTCCCTTCAGTGTGCAAGGCTTTGTGCTGAGGGAGGGAGCTATGAATGAGACTTGGGCCCTGCCCTCAAAGAGCTTGCAGTCTTTCTGATAGAGGGACAGTGAAAAAAGCTAAAGTAGAAAGTGAAATGTGATGGGTACCATAAGAGAGGCACAAAGGATTATGGAAGCTCAGAAGTTCATGGGAAGAGTAGATAATTTTAGGTTGAGGAGGTAAGTAAAGACTTCATAAAAGATAAAGCATATGAGCTGAGCCCAGATGGATAGATAGGATTTCGATAGATTAGCAGGTGGAGGCCATTCTGGACAGAGGTATCCAGTCTTTGGGAAGCAGCAGGGTTTGGTGGAAAGAACGCTAAATTTAGAGTTAAGAGGCCCTGGTTTGAATCCTGTTGTGGACAATTTACCACCTGTGTGGCCTTGGGTAATTCACAGGCCCTCTCTGAGCTTCCCTTTCCTCATCTGTAAAATGAAGCTTTGGACTTGATGACTTCTAAATTCTCTTCCAGCTCTAAATCTCAGATCCTATGAATATCTGGATGGTTGTTGTTGAGAAGGCATACACAGTCTAACTATAAAAAAAAATTTACAGTGAGGCAGATTTTGGCTCTAACTTTCTAATGATTAGACATACCAACACTGGAAGAGGTGGGCAGAGATAGTGATCATCCAGACCTCAGAGGTCACCAAATCCAACTCCCTTATCCTATAAAACTGGAAACCAGGGCCCAAAAAAGGCAGGTGATTGACCCAAGGTAGCAAATGCAGTGCCAGGATTTGAACCCTTGTCCTCTGGTTCCCAGTCCAGTACTGTATCCTCCATGCCACACTGGCTGGGTGATCTGGTATAAGGGATGCTATATAACGGATTCCTACACTAGGAAGGCTAGTGTAGGGATGTGTGACAAGTTTCCCTTCATCCCTGAGATTCTATATTCCTAGTTTTCTGTGATCCCTATTTGCTTAGTTTCCCAATTTCTCAAGCCCCTAGTGCTAGTCTTGTTTGGTGATTAGACACTTAAAAGTTTTTGTTGACCAGGAAACTTCATTCCCATTTCACAGCTCAGTGGAGTAACCTGATTTAGGTGTGTGATGTCTGCTGTTTATTCCATATCCCACCCATTTCTGAGTGAGAGAGGACATCATTGGAAGGATTTACTGAAAAGAACCCTATGGATCACTCAGTACAATCCTTTCCTTCTAAGGGGAGGTGGGGGGAGAGAGGAGGGGAGGGAGGAAGAAGGAAAGGGAATAAGCATTTATTAAATACTGATCATGTGCCATAGAACTGTTGAAATATTTTACAAATATTATCTTATTTGACCCTCACAACAACTCTGGAAGGTAGATGCTACTATGATCCCTATCTTATAGAGATGAGACAACTGAGGCAAACAGCAGTTAAGTGATTTGTTCAGAGACACACAGCAAGTGTCTAAGGCTGTATTTGAACTCGGGTCTTAACTCCAGGCCCGGTGCTCCATGCACTGAGCCACCTAGATTGTCCTGGGGAAGCTTAACTTCTCATTGCTCCAGGCAATTTTTTAAGACTAAAAAGCTGAAGAGAAGGTTCTGGCCTGTAATAGGAGAGGTGGTTTTCTGACTTAGGCATTCCCTTTGCTAATGAAATCAAGAGACACCATCAAAAATGCATTTCTTTATAGCTCTTTTAGTGGTGGCAAAGAACTGGAAAGTGTGGGGACATCCATCAATTGGGGAATGGCTGAACAAGCTATGGTATATGAATGTAATGGAATACTAGCATTCTATAAGAAATGACAAGCTGGATGGTTTCAGAAAAACCTGGAAAGACTTATATGAACTGATG